TTTCAAAGTTTCAAATTCTGTTTTTGTGCCTCAGCCGGGAGTTCAAAAATTTGTCGCCCCCAAACTAGAAGAGATAAAAGCGCTGTTTTTTGCCTTGACATGAGCAAAAGTCTCGTTAAAATGCTTGACTACTTTGGGTTCAATTGGGCCACTAACAGATTTTGGAGGAATTTTCAAAGTTTCAAATTTTGTTTTTGTGCCTCAGCCCGGAGTTCAAAAATTTGTCGCCCCCAAATTAGAAGAGATAAAAGCGCAATTTTTGGTCTGGACATGCGGAAGAATCTCGTTAGAATCCTGAACCACTTTGGCTTCAATCGGGTGGCCAACAAATTTTGGAAAAATTTCCAAAATTTCAAATTCTGCTGTTTATGTCTCAGCAGGGAGTTCAAAAATTTGTCGCCCCCAAATTGGAAGAGATAAAAGCTCGATTTTTTGCCCCAACATGCGGAAGAGTCGCTTTAAGATTCCCGATGACTTTGGCTTCAATCGGGCCACTAACAGATTTTGGCAGAATTTTCAAAGTTTCAAATTCTGCTTTTTGTGCCTCAGTCCAAAATTTAAAAATTTGTCGCTTTATCTACAAAAATTTCGAATTGTCTAGTATATTAGCAGTGTTTACTTCCATTTGCTGCTGTTTTTCCTTCGTTGTCGCCTTAAAGGAAATGGTTTTGTTTCTTTTTCCAACCATTAGCTTTTTCTTATTTGTTGCCTTTTAGACCCGATTTGTAAAATTTGTTTTTGGTTGATTTGGATTCCAATTAAAAATCCCTGGCGTTGTTTCATTAAAAGCGAAAAACGGGCGCCAAATAAAAAAACAAGAGCAGATTTAACGATGTTGTTTCTAAAACAGAAACCAGTCATGTCAACGAGAATTTAACGTTGATGCGGGTCTAAATTTCGTTTTTCGTTACAGATTAACAGACCGATTTATCAGGACTTTTTCGTTTTGATAAATATTTAATTATGTGTTTGACTGAGACGCATTAATAATGCAAAGTTTAAAGTCCACATTTGTCTTTCGCGTTCATTTGAAATCAATCAAGCAATTTGTGGCCTTTCTTTGTCATTATTAATAAACTGAGGCTGTGGGAGGCTTCACAGTTTTTAAACATTAATAAATCGACAAACGAGGCCAATTTGCTAATATTGATTCGAATTGAAAAGAAATATTGGCTTTTTTCGCCGATTAATATTTCATCAAATTCTTCCTACAGACGATTTTTCGATAGAATTTTAAATTTGGTGTCGTTTTTTTCTGCAATTAACAAGGTAGTTTAAATATTGATCAGCCAATTATTTGTCCAAGAAAGTCGCCCAATACAGCGATCGATGGAAATGAGGAGCTTTTTGGGCTTTAGGCCTTCGAGGAACAGAGTATCTTCCTAAGAGCACAAAAAACTTGCATCTTCAGAGGTGGTTTGCTGGAACCACGAGGGCCTAAAGGCCCAAAAGCTCACCAGATTCACGCAACTAAGGAGTTTTTCTTTAGACTCCGATATCAGTCAGAAGACCTGATAACTTAAGATGGTTTGCAGGGAAAAACAGAAAAATCTACGCAAATTTGTTCTTCACATTCACCAGCATGAACATCCGTTACCTTTAATCAGCAAACTGTTGTAACGTTAACATTAACGGTAATTAATCGAACTTGAATCGAGATTATTCATTGCCTTCCTACTACGTTCAATTGAAACAAATCGAATATTGCGAGGGCTACCAAGCGTCCTCCAGCTGAAGATTTATCATTTAATTAACCGATACCAGTTTCTTCGTTCAAGTTCAAGGCCATTCGTTGCCATTTCGAATGCACTCACATCTTCATGTTGATTTAATCCGGATCAACGTTAACTGCAAAAAAACCGATCGAAAATCCAGTTCTTGGACCAGCGTCGAAATTGGGGTTTCGCTAAATGCGTACCCAACCAATCCAGCGAAGAACTGGCCATTCTTCGGCGTCTTCATTTCATCGTATAAGAGCGGCTCTTCAGAACCTTTCAGGCATTTAGTTCTTGCGACATTGACATTGAAGATACTGCCTTTGGTATCATCGGGTGATTTGTTTTCCGTATGTGCAAGTGCAGGTGCGATTTTTCTTTGAACATTGTTTGCCGTTCTGCATTTCCTGTCTAGGTATGTATGGATTTTATGTTGAAAATTTGCAGTCAAACAGACCGGTTTTTTATCCGCAAAAGTGGTGATTATTACGGATTGGAAGCGATTTTATCGGGTTTATGTGAGCTTGTCTAATATTGACAAAATGTAATATTTGCTATTTGCTGAGCAATTAGCCCGCCTTTGGATAACCATACGAAAGTTTACTTTTGCGTACAAAAACAGTTGTAGCCAGAATTTCATTTTTTCTAGCGAACTGAAGCGCAAAAATGTTGATCAAAGATCGCCCAAGAAAAGCGCAGCTTTCCATGGCAAATCGGTTGTTTCCCAGAAAACATGTGCTATTCATTAGCGTTTCCAGCCAAGGGCTTAATTGAGCACTTGACTTGCCAAACGTGGAAAAATCCCGCTCTTTAACCAGTGGAGTCAAAAAAGGCCAAACAGCTCAGTTTTTTAACAACGTTTCTTTACTAAATTCTTCTTCTAAGGCACGATGAGTGGGAATTATCATTGGCCACATCAAATGGGCACTTAATCGGTCGTTATCGCTATTGGCGGCCTTTTCAGGATATTCAGAAAAAACGAGTCGCAGTTTGCTGACCGAAAGGAAAATTTTTGCGTCTTCGATCTTTCAAAATTTTGGACCAATTTATATTGATTTCCCGGCGTCAAAGCTGGCTTTTACGCGAAAAAGTTTGGCAGTTATTTTTGCAGAAATCGGTCAAGTTGCGTTTGTGTGAGAAAAAAGGTTCGATTTTGATTTTGAAATTAAATTATGCGCTTGTTTATGCAAGCCGGAGTTCGGCAGTTATTTCTTCAGAAAGCAGATAAGTCTGCTCATAAGGAGTGATTCTTTTTATTTTTAGTCATCATCAGGTTATTTTCCAGAGGCTTTTAAATTTTGCTTTTGATTTTTGTGGTTTTCTATGCACACTAGTTAGCCATTCATTAAACTCAATTAAACCGCCTTTAATTTTTGATTCCAACCAATCACAAAATGTTTCGATTCTTCAAGACTTTTGTTAAAAAGTCATCTTCAGTTAATTGTACATAAACTTTCCGACATTTTTTCCGCAGAATCTAGTAAAGCAAAAAATCGTTTTTCTATAAGTGGCCAGGGTTTCGAATTTCAGTCATCCTCAGGCATTTTTTTTAAATTTCAAATGGCGTCTGGTTTATCTAGTCGGTTTTTGCAAGCAGATCCGAGTTTGGTATTGACTTATTTTCAAATCAGCTAAGTTACAGAGTCGCTTGTGTAGGCAAATTGCGTAGAAAAGTTCACTCCACAAGTGCCAAAAAGTTCGATGTTCGGCCATTATCAGGAAATTTTCTAGGATTTTTCAAAGTATCATATTTTGGGGAGTTTTAAGTAGGTCGTAGTTCCACATTAATTTGCGCAGGAACCCGAAGTTTGTTCTATACGTGAAGAACTTTTCGATTTGCAGCCATCCTCAGAAACAGTTTTAACCAGTGTTTAACAGTTCTTTTAAGAAAGACCAAAAGAGAAGGCTCGAAAAAGATTTATTGCCTTAATGTGCACATTCGCATAATTTGCCCACATTTAAGCTCCTTAGAAACGATCCATCATCTTAGAATCTGTGATTTTTTGGGGGGAAATTGACTAATTAGTTTCAAGTAAAACATCGTCTTTACTAACGCGTTAACAGCATTATGCTAATTGTCCGATAATGGACTCCCAACCGAAGCATTATGAGTTATGTGACAAATTTATCGGTGTCGTTGAACCGGCATTAACACAATACAGGTTGCCAAAATATGCGGCTCATTATCATATTATTTATCTCGGCGGAATGTCGAAGTGATCTGGAAACCAGTTCAATGTATTATTAATCAGGATTCATACTGTTTTTGCTTCCATCGAATAAAATGTGACACCCACCTAAGAACAACCGTTTTGATTGCTTTTTCTACTTTAATGTTGTCAGTTATCATTTAATTTAAAAAAGCAACTGTTTAAACACTTTGAATTCGTAAAACACTGCAAAGTTAGCAATTTTTCACTTTTTGATTTGAAAAATTTTCTGATGTTGCAGCTTCAGAAAACTCCAAAGTAAGTAATGGGGAATTTTGATTCCCCGACCTAAAAAACCGCAAAAAACCATTTTTTGTACCTCGGAAACTTTCGGTAAAAACAATTTCGCCTCAAACGCAATATTTTTATCTAAGCAACGTGTGCAATGCAACGAGCTCATCTAAAAACGCATTAGATCCTTCAGAGCCAAAAAAATAAATATTTAGTTTAATTCAAAAGAAATTCCTGGGTTCCAGTCAATTTTATTGTTTACCATTTAACATATTACAAAAACGTTTCGGTGTTTTTCTCCACCATCATCAGTTTGTATGTATGGTTGTTTCACACAACCATACATACAAACTGATGATGGTGGAGAAAAACACCGAAACGTTTTTGTGACATTTTAAATGGTAAACAATAAAATTGACTGGAACCCAGGA